ATATATATATATATATAGTAAGATCATATAATATATATAGCATATAATATATTATTTAGGTAACATTAAGGCATCAAAAGTAAGAAACGTAAGTGATTCAGCTGATGCTGCCAGTGAAATATCCTTGCATGATCCACTTTTCAAAATGATTCGCGATCTTCATATCAAAGATGTTGGAAAGCAAATATCAGAAACGCTTGGAACGCTTCGTGACGAGCGGGCAGTACGTTTTATTTATTATTTAATCCCTGACGCTTTTATTTGTTAACCAACGCTCGTTTGTGATCTAATTTTTGAAATTCGCTCTCCATCAGCAAACGTACGTATCAAAATGCTTAAAATATTACTGCGAATGCCACAAATAATTTTTATATAGCGATTTAATCATTTATCATATTTTTTTTTCTTTTGTCCCATTCACTGGCGCTTGTAGAGATTAAAAGAAAATCCGCCGAGTGGTTCGCTAGCGGAAAGCAAAGTTTTTGTTCGCAGATTGCTTGACATGCAAGGAAGTGAAAAACATGCTGATACTCATACACTGATTGCCGAACGCCTTATGAGCTTCATCCGTGATGATTTGCGGTACTCCACCTTTCCAAAGTTGGCGATTGGTAATGGTTTGATATTTTCATTCACCGATAGTATACTTAAGAAATGATTTGTGCGAATATTTTTGAGACTATTGAAATGTATTAAGAAATACGACGGTCTAATAGTTTTGAAACTACAAAAAATTATTCTAGATATTGTGCAAGGAGAGTATGGTGATCGAGTCATCCCGCAGATTGAGAATCTTATTCTGGAAGTCTACAACCCTTTAATTGTTTTGCGTTTCATTATACTTCAGTGTATGGTTGCTGGTGGTTTCAAAAATGCTACCATTAGTGCGTATGAGCGACTTTTCGTTCAGGTACGTAGTATGCACTTCAATACTTATATATATATCGTTGTTGTTCAAATTTTTGTATTAAATTTCACGATCTTAAACGGTCAAAGTAATATTCTGTTGAGATAAAATATCAGCAAATATATGTGTTTAGAGCTATGGTGGATATTATATGTCACTGTGGATAAAATTGCAAATAATGGGACTTTTGTGGGAAAGGAATGGCAAAATAAAAGTAAGTATTTCAAACCAAATAAAACAGAAAGCATAAATTTCACACGCCGATAGTAAAACTAACAACTTTCAGGGAGAATATGCTCCATTTGATTTTCAAACATCATGTCACCGAATGTCATGTTTTGTCGATGAAGAGCATAGTGTAAGTTGCCGATATAAAACCTGGAAGTTAAGGCCATAAATTTTCAGAAAAGCAAAATGCATCGAGTCATAGTTGGTATGTCCGACTTTCGAGTCGCGAAGATGATGCAAAATTAAAACGAGTTCGGACCAAAAAATTATTTCTCATGAAATTTACCTACCCAGTGTTTTTTATAGTGCGTTTTGAGTTTCAAAATTGCATCACTTGCTCCAAGAGTGAAAAAGAAAATTTTGTATTCGTTCAGTTGCATTGATTTAGGCATATGGAACGACAGCATATCCGTACAGTGGTTACATACCTTTAATTGTTCGGTACATCGAAACAGGTCTACGAAATAATTGGCGGGACTGGACAACGATTCTGAGTGGTGATCGTTCGACAATTGGCCATAGCACTCATTCCATCATTTTCATTATTGGTGGTATCACACAAGCTGAGTTGGCATGTCTCAGAAAAACACGTTTTTTAAATAAATTGCTAATCGTTTCAAGCACGGTAATGACGGGTAATAAGTTGATTAGTTTAATACAAAATAGTTAATTTGTTCATTAGGCTATAAGTCCTCTTCATACATACACTGCCTTCCTCTCCGGAAAGTAAAAGATTATATAAATTTATCTTAAACATAGAGATTGGATATCAGTATTGGATCTTGAATATTCACAGCAAAAAATTTGGTCATATTTTACCAACTCATTGCAGTGCTTCGATATGAAAGATTATGCAGAAAATATAAGCCACTTATTTTTTTAATATATTTTTTATTTTCAAAAGGTAAAAAGTTAATCCCAAAAGTGTTTAGAATTCAAACCTACAATTCTACTAGCGAATAATAGGCAGCAATTGCGGTCCTTCCTGTCCTTCATGCACATTCAACGGTTTTGCATAATGGAAAATTTGCATTATGTTTACCCGGCAAACGAAAGAAAACAGTTAACTTTCGCGAAAAATTTTATTTGTTGGAAAAATGCGTGAATGTAAAGGTCGCAATCAGAAAGTAGGGTTTCCAAGACAATTAGTAAAATATGGATCTGCCTTCGACAAGACTGGGACTTGTAGCTCATCTGAATCAACTGATATCTTTATAGATGCATGAAAATATAACAAGGAAAGTGGAACAGTTGATGGCTGATATGACACGACAACTTATTTCAAACGCCAGTAATGAAGAGGATGTTGAGGTGGAAGTGAAAATGTTGTTTGGGAAACTTGTTGGCAGTCCAAAAAATGCAAGTAGTCGGAAGTTAGTTCAGTATTAGTTTTTCATATAGAGAAATGATTTTTTTGTCGTATTCGCCTTATCAACTTACCAGTAAACTGCTTTGTTGCACGACTCGAACAATTATCTCAGGGAATGTTATTTAGATTGGTCTTGAAAAAAGCGGAGGAGCCCCGTATATTACTAAAAAAAATTTCTAATTTGTCGAATTTTCGTAAATCAATATTCCGTGCCGAAGTATGAAACGATGAATCGACATATACTTTAAGACGTTTTCAGGACGTGCAAAATTCTTTGTAACATGTATAGTTTTTCAGTTCCATAAACAAAAATCTTTGCCCGATGCGAAGAATTTTCGGTTGTTTTGACGCCACTGTTACAGCAACTGGCAAGTTTAATGCGAGACTTCATCCTAAATTCTCATGAGTGAATCTTCGAACACATATCTATCTTAAAATCTGAGAAACCTCGAAAATTTGATATAAACAAGACAAAGAATTCTACATTATGTAAAATTCACGTATCATATTTTGCTAGACAGTCCAGAAGCATCATCAGCGAACCACAGACGATCCATTACCAGCCATTATTCATCACCATCCCAACAAATCACAACCGAAGATGAAACGTCGATGTATGCTGCTTCGCATTAAGAATTTCGAACATTTTTTTCTAAATCTTGTATAGCTGCAGTCTGCTTTACATTTCACCAGGAATGGCGACATTGTGCATTCCAAATTAAAGACTAGTTTTGAAGATTTCATGTTATATTGAAACATTTACCATGAAATGTCTGTCCAACATTATGCAAATACTTATCAAAAATTGCCAAAAAAAGATATTTGCTTATATAGCTTATTACTTCAGAAACGAAGAGAGCGAAAAGAAAAGAGGGTCAGCTAGAAAGCATCGTTCGAGATTGTTACATTCCGTGGATTTGTAAGATAGACAACAGAATGTTTCCACTCCAACTTCTTTAATCTTTCAATCCAACAATATTTTAAAAGAAAAAACACTAACAAAAGAATCAATTTGCGAACATATGTTCTTAAAACGTGGGATAACGATAAAATAAGCAGCAGCCTTAACTGATCAGTTGCATGAAAGATGAAAGGTTATATTGCATACATGATTCTAACTCCCGAGAGCTCAAAATCAAGTATATACATTCTCATTTACTCGTGTGGAATTCTGATTATTACCTTTCAAGCTTTTACAGATGTCACAGATAACCTAAGAGAATTTGTGATATCTTAAAATAATAAGAAATCTAGATGGAACATGAAAGCACATTAGGTCATCAAAATGCTTTTCCCCTTTTATATCAGTGGAAAGGTATTCAGGGTATTAGGACATGCAGTATGGAGATAACAAGTAAAAGAGTAAAGGAGCTGGAAGAGTTAAGGCCATGTGTACAGACGAATCAAATAATTTCAAAATGTAGGAATGGTAAACTAGCAACAAAAAATACAAAAAGATCGGAAAGAACAGAGTAGAAAGCGTGTTGCACATCGAAAATTTGTATAGTTACGACAGACTAACCTTAATTGGATGCAATCAGCAATGATAATGTGACAACTGTAACATCAGTAATGTCCAACATTGAAAAATTACATAAAAGATATGAAGGAGCAAAACCTTTTAAACTTTTAAAAGCGCGAACAAACTTTACAAATTCACCGGTATTGATCAGTAATCCGTCTCATCATTCCTTAGACATCTTGCCAATGGCGAAGAAGGTGGTTGTGAAGATTTCTGAAGGACAGTATTTTGTAATTTTTTACAACGACCATCAGAAATGTAATCGAAAGGTATTCAGGGTATTAGGACATGCAGTATAAAACATCCAATATGACTTTCATTAAACAGAAAAGACCTTTTGCAAATAAAAATAAGTTTGAAAAACTTTACTTGGCCACGAGGACGGAAAAGCTCGTGTTTCGCAAGCTCAAAAACATCTGCCCGCTCTTCTTTTCGATACTGCAGACAGCGACGGATAAAATCCTGGAAATGTTGAAAAGGAACTTTTCCAAATTCACTTACAATTTCAATTGCACTACTGCAATAATTTCAATAGATTAGGTGTCTGAATATACAACAAATTGAATAAATGAACTTTCAGTAAAGGGGAACGATTATTATTATAAATTATAATCACAACAGAAAAGTGGATTCTAAAAAACCATCTCTAACAATCCCCCATATTCGGTAAGAAAATTATGCCAAATTTTAAGCATTGGCTATATAAAAATAGTTTTATTATTGCTGTTATGCCTACCTGCGCTGCCGAGCTGACTACTGGCTTGGGGGGAAAAGTGACTTCGGTAGCTTTCAAAATAGTGTTTTCTTCCAGAATTTTCTGTTGAGTTTGTTCGTGTCCAAATGGCTATAAAAAGATGCATATTAATGTGTAGTTAGAACATTTTAAATATTGTCGCTGACATATTAAAAAGATTTGTAAAGAGATAAAGCATACTCGTCTGCCATATAGACACTGATAAAATATGACACCAACACTCCAAACATCCACTTTTGAGCTTATTTTTGGAGGATTGTGACCGACAACAAAAGTTTCAGGAGGAAGATACCTAGAAACATACAATGGGAAAAATTTCAATTAATGACTGCAAAATATGCGTTCATATCCAGCAGGATAGTTAGCAGCTAATGGGCTTAAGTTTTCCATCATACGGAAAAAATGTCTATTCATATTCATGATCCATACTCAATTATTTATTTTTATCAACAATGATAGGGAAATTCTAAAGCAATGAAGATATAAGCTTTTCCTAAGATATTTGAAAAACTAGATAAAGAGGAAAATGAAAAGTACAACTGATTTGATAAGATCTTTACGAAAATAAAAATTATATATGTTAACCACTAACCAGTATGTTCCAGCTCCCTGGGATGTGAGTTCAATAGAATCGCCGTCATCAGCATCTTCCATTATTTTACTTAAGCCAAAATCAGTGATTTTTATTGCACCGCTCGTAGTACCCGATTGCAGTAGGATATTTGCCGGCTTCAGATCATAATGTATTATTGGTGGACGTTTTTCTGATAAATAACGAAGTGCTGACACTACCTGAAATAACTCAAACGGTAAAAGTCTTCCAGATAATTTAAATGCAGCATTACTTAAAGTTTGTGGTACTGATTATTTAAAATAACATATAATAACGGCTTTCCAACATTATCATCACTAATTGCTTTCGGATAAAGTGCTAACAGACTAGACGTGTTTCCAATCACAGAGCAGGATGATATAAGCTGGCAGAACCATACGCTAATATAACACCTCAGGCACTTAATAAAACAGCCAAATGTGATAGAACTTCTCAATTGCAGTTTTTGCTCAAGCTTAATTTGTTTATTACCCTACATATTTTTTATAATTTTGTAAGGGCAAACCAACAACCTGCATAATAATAGAGCGTGCCTCTTTCTCGGGGATTTGCTTATTTTGCTTCAGATAAAAATCGAGATCATTACCATCACAGTACTCCAACACAGTACAGAAAGAATGATTATCGATTGTAAATAAGTCAAATAAGCGAACAATACGGGGATGATCCAATGTTTTATGAATATCTTTTTCACGCATAGCATGCTTCACATAATTCGCCTACAATTAGTTCGCTCATTAATAATAATGAGTAAACAAAGATAATAACTGATCCAATAGTTCTACAATCAATATAAAAAAACTTTAAAATCTGTTGAACAGTAACCTTTTTATCTTCTTTCCATTCTTTATTTACATGATGTATTTTGCATGCCACATATTTGTTCTCATCCAGATCAAATGCACGCCAAACCTCGCTGCAGAAAAAACAAATATAAATTACAGAATCCACTAAAATTTGTACTGTTGTGAAAGAAAGCTAGAAACACCGTCACTGTACAATTAATGATACATGATATGATTAGATGACTACATTGTTTCGATCTGTGAGGACACTTACTAAAATAGACAACAACAAAAAACCCTATAAAAATTGATATAAAACTAGAATAAACTAACCTGAAACCACCTTTTCCAAGAAGCAAAAGTAGAAGATAGCGCCTATTGAGCAATTCATGATCTTTGTACCGACTTGCTTCCTCATATTGAACCCGTTTTAATTCTCGAATATGCAAATTACGCTCTCTCTCTAAGCGATCACGTTCAGCGACTAATTCCGCCTCCTCTTTTTTCAGATGTTCCTTAAATGAATACAAACATTGAGAAAAGCAAAAAAAAAAAATGACATTTTGCAATGTGTAATACAATATCGACTAACTGTCTTAAGTACGTCAACAGTTCTGAAATATCGTGACAAATGTTTTGCTTGGTTCGAATGAAAATGCAATTAAGCAGATCACTAAAAATTAACCAAGTTACCTTACGCAAGCGATAAATTTCTTCTTGTTCCAAATATTCTTGCAAAGTCAACTCTTTTGGTAATTCCGGTTTTGCGAACAATTCATCACTGAGTGAAACAGAACATGGCCCTGCTGATGTAGACGGGACCATACCATCCGAACCAGTCGACATTGCTCTAGGAAAAAATCGATCGACGAAAATATTTCGTATAACGAAGCGCAACGAAGAAATCCACTACTTTCAACTTTCTTTTTCCTCAGGGAGAGCAGAAAATGAAAATTATTCAGTGAGGACCTCACACACAAAACGTCATATTTTTAATAATGCAACGAGTTATTATTTATGACTATTTTGAATTAAGAATTAAAATTTCAAATTTCAACACCTGAAAATTATCTTCGTTTTATTTTTCGAAATAAAAACAAAGTATAAGTATCACTTTCAATTCACATAAAATATCTACGCTGAAAGTGTGAATGGATCTGAGGATAATATAGTAATCGAAGTAATAAGTATAATAATTTCTAATAAAGTGAAAATTCCTTGGTTTCATACCTTTTCAAGTCTCGAGCAGTTCCGGTTGGTTTCCTTTTTCGAAGATTCTGTGAAGCATTAATTATTTCATTTCTTTCATTTGCAATCCTCTGCTGTGCTTTATTAATTTCCTCGAATGCCCATCCATCAGCCCACATCTCGCGAAATTCTTCTCGGTGACGCGTGGGCTTGAACTGTCCAATACGTAAGCAATCCTCCATACATTTTGCTTTAGCCTAAAAATCGCATCCCATATTATAAATGCCAGAAATTCTCGGACTTAAAAAAAACCAAAATCGATGTTTTTATTTTATGAATTATGAGCTCATACGAAACGATCTTCTCAGTGATAAAAAGAAAATACCCAAAAGTCAAAAAACACAGCACATCGAAAAGTGGTCATAATATAGTAAGCATTAACAAAATTAACATGTTTTTTTGCATAGAAAATATGTCGCAAAATTTCCTTTGACTGAAAAAAGTATTATATTGGAAAATGAAAAAAAGACGTACCTGCTTTCTTTCCATGGTACTTTGTTCAATCAACAATTTTCTTATGGTCTCTTTGCATGCATCCATGGATCGGTCTTTTTTGATGATCTGCTGCTTCAATTCTTCAATTGTCACCCTCATATCCTCAATTATATTATCTTTTTTTGAGAGCTCAGAACGCATTTCTGCTGTATCAATTAAGGATAATTCATCAGTTTGCGCCTGAAAGAAGAATTATCAGTTTAAACATGCTAATAGTAATTCTGCATTCAATTTCTCAATTAAAAAATAGATGAATGTAAAACAATTTCCAAAAAAACAAGATAAAATATTGAAGAATACCTGTGAAAAATAAAACACCATGGAGTTTTTTCCAAACCTATAAATTCTTTTAAAAATAGAGATAGACACCTGAGAATCCATTCGAGGCCTACACATCAATGTTTGCGGCGGACTTTGGCTTTGACTTGAATCACTCGAGTTGAAAATGGTCAGATGAATATTCGGCCGAGTATTGGTCGATGGAGAAACAGATGTGATGATTGCACACTAAATGAATAGACTAGAATTACTAAGCTATATTTTTTTGGAACATAAAGTCATGTAGTTTCTGTTAAGATTGTAAGCAGATTTTCCATTAAGGTTTTGAACCTGGTTTGAAAACAATGTTTTCATTTTATGAAAAAATATGCATCATTGCTACCGAAAATATAATACAAATAGTATCTATGAAAAACTATAACGATACTGACAGATCTAGCACCTATTATACTACTAATTCAAAAAAGTTCGAAAACATGAATTAGTCTCATAAGAAAAACTATACATAGAAGCCAACAAACATGCCTGATGATTAGTTTAACTATCACATAAAATATTCCTAAGACTAAGAGCTAACACGTGTTAGCGATCTTCCTAAGCACCACAAGCCTACGTTCTTCTCTATCCAAAAAATGACTAGGTATTAAGAGTTTTAATACATATATATTTATATTTATCAATCAAGCACGAAGATTTTTGAAGAGACAGTACTGAGAAGATGAGAGAAAAATCGAAACTGCTCTACATCAAGAATGTGATTACAGTTGAATATGCATCATTTTTGTAACTATTATTTTACTTATTAAAAGCTTCTTGTATAAAACAGATGTACAAAGGTACCAAAAAGGTAGGAATAAGAACCTTAATGAAAAACAATCATGGCATACTTCTAAATCAGATTTATGACAATTCCAGATGGATAGAAATAAACATACGTAATCACTGCTTGAACTATCACCATTTGCATGAGAGGCGTTTACTTGACGCTTCGGGCTCGAACCAACTGCCATGTTCTGAATAACTAGATAATAGAATAAATTTTTTACGTTTGCGAAATTCATAAAAATCGACGCTTTTCATGTGATATGTAAGAACTTATGAACGTACATGTTAGCATACTAAATTACAAAGGATTCCATGAAAATATAGATCGTAAAAAAAACACCTTAAAATATAAAAAATACTTTAAAACATTCCGTAATCTTCCGATCACTTTTGGGTGGATGCCCATCATTTCGTCGCCTCTTTCGTGGTGGTTTTTGTTCCAAAGATTTCACAACTTTAGTGTAATTACCCTTGTCGGGAGTTTCAGGCTCACGATCAGATACCGAACCCGTGCTGCTTACATTAGATAATTCATTAGAGACTGGTATTGGCAGATTAGAACCCGCAATTGTAACTGATGTAGGTACTAGAGGCGTCGTTACCTGTGTCTGAACAATTTCTCCGAACTCCATCTGAAAGTGTAGAAGTGAACAAAAAAAAAACCGAAAAAGTCAACCTGATATAAACGGTAAAGCTATTTCTGACGTAGCGGAGAGGAGCATTCGACAGTTAGAGCAAGAGCGAACCACAGATCGCATATAACATATAAAAGCGCTGTCTTCATCGAAGTACAAATGATTTTTTTAATGGAATTCGAAAAGTTCAATAAAAAAAGCATAACAAACCTTTTCTATAATCTTACTACTTAGCTCTTCCCTTTCATGAACAATTGGGAAGGGACACGCAGTACCAGATGTATTGATTGTTTCCACTGTTTTGACCACGTCTGCTGAATCCTTTTTAAGTAGCTAAAACAGAAAATTTTCAAAAAAGGGATAATTTATAGGAAAAATTAAAAAGGTTTAATTCGACATGCTATGCGATTACAAATTCTTGTAATCGAAATCATACAACGCGAAAAAAATTTAAAAGCCATGATCCAGTCGAGATCTAACAAAGAACAAAGCGATGAATCAATAATTTGCTGCACATATAAATCATGGGCGACAAGAATTAGCCTCCTCTTATAGTCCTAAATCATACGAACAAATAAAAAAATACCTTCTCTGACGGTAAGGTCCTGTTCGCCTGCAGACCAGAATTAAATGCGCGTCTTTCAAGGTCAATTCTCGGTGGTTCCCCAGAAGAAGTATCGAAATCTTCACACTGTACAATATTACCGGTAGCAGTCTCACCACTGGTCATAGCGTACCAAGCAACTCCATGGCCTTTGTTACTGTCATTCGCACTCTCTTTGTTACATTTACAAATGAGCACTTTCCTGGAACACATGAGTTAAAACACTGCACGTGAATTCAAATTAGACTTCGAAGTTGGCTTAAAATATTTGCAAGGTTAATCATATTTTGATGCTGAAAAAGGCACGTTTCCAAAAGTAACGCATGTTGTCAAAATTGAATAAAATTAAGTATAACGAAATTTAAAATTATATGTGAATAGAGTGATACAAAATAATATATGGAAGAAAGTGAAGCATATGAGAAAGATCTTCTTCGACTTGAGGTGTCAATGTAAAAAGCCATGCCTGTCTAGGAGTATTTATGAAAGCAGTAATGAAATTTCACCGAAATCAGTGGTCAAGAATTTGTTAAAAGGACATCATCATGACCCACTGCTACTCAATTTTTTCAAGCTTCTCTGCACAGTTCATCATCAAGCCTGATAATAACGACGATATCATAGCACGAATTATCGATTTTCTCGAAACACTTCGCGCTATGATTTTAACAGTGATGGTGACCGTGAGGAAGATGATGAAAATGCCGGTGACGACCACGAAGATGATGATGATGATGACGACGACCACCACCACCACCACCACCATCACCACCACCACTACGATCCATCCCAATGTGCCGCTCCTCCTGGTCTATTCGCGGCGTATGTTATGTTATGTATATATGAGTATGTTGTTTTATGTATATGTATGTGTGTGTGTGTATGTGTGTGTATGTGTGTGTGTGTGTGTGTGTGTGTGTGTCGATGATAGTGCCACCGACCACAGTATGCTCTGAAAACGGCCATGCACTTTTCATGCTTTCTCTAGGCATTGTTTCTTGAAGTGCAGGACGCATAAACAAATCTTTGCGACCCCTAATGATATGTACCGATATCACATCAAAATACAGCACACTGCACAATTCCAGAATTGCGAGACAAGAGATCGTAAAAACTTCAATAACCGATAAGTGTATCTGTGATACGAATGCGCATCGCGCAAACAATCTCAATATCATGAGAAAAATTATCACATACTAAAGATGCTAAAGAAGCGTGAAATCTAGGACAACGCAATCCTGCAGGTGAATTAGCAGTGTCATCATAAAGTCAAACGATTACTAAAATATAAACCATTCCAGTAATGTCGACATAAAATCCATTTGATTAAAGTACGTCCTTCAAATGCATTATGAGGATGCACGTGTCAACGGAACGCATTAGCAGTATTTTTCTGGATGATTTGCTGCAGTCTGTAAAGGGATGACGATGATGATAAAGATGCTTCTGTTGGGATAACCTGAAGAATAATGTACTCTATAGTCTCTCTCCCTTTCTCTCCTTCTCTCCCTGTCTGCCTTTCTTCCTCTCTCCCCCTCTCCCTCTCTGTCCCTTTCTCCCTCTCTGTCTCTCTCTGTCCCCCTCTCCCTCCCTCTCTCTCTCTCCTTTACTGTAGAACTCACTGTACTTACAATCCTTGCAACCGTAACCTTTGAGAAGAACCGATCTCATTCACAATCCAATTGACACATTTTTTGAGATGCGAACGAATTCTTATAACAAAATGAGTGAGTGAGCGAGAGTGAGAGTGAGAAGGATGAAAAGGCAGTGCTGTGCTGCAGCTGTGCGACACAAAGCGACAGTGCGACTACTCCATGTTAAGCTTTACCGGTACAAAGGCAACTGTCCGTTCTGCTTTCCCATATTATTACTACATCTGTTGGTTTCATGCCATTTGTTATTAATGTCGCGCTGCAATACCAATGGAGTAGCCGAAATAAGTGGTTGGTGCAGTTGTGGAGTGCAGTTGTGCATACGCACTTCGGATGGACATGCACTATGCAGGGAAGGGATCGCGCGATTTTAAAGTTTCTTGCAATCAAAGGCATATTGAGAAGGGTCAAAGGGTGAGAGGATTAGTGAGAATATCAATGATATTTGCATTCGAGATGGTGAGTTAGCCGAAGGGTCATAGGTTATCCACCGTGGCATTCAGATATTTACGTGGCCGAAGAGTTAATTGGTACAGAATTAGTAGCTGCATTCATCATAAGACTTGCATGCATGCCTGAAAGAGGAAAGGGTGGTGATGATGCTGATTCTCTCTAGAAATATTAGCTAGCAAACTTTTCTTTCACCACTTTTAAGGCATGTAATATGAAATTAGGAATCGGCAATTTGCAAAATATAAGATGGCATTACAGTACGAGTCGATAAGCGTTATTGTCATCCTCCTTCTCTTTCGTTTTCTGTGTTCGTGTGTCAAAATAACGGTTCCCTTTTACATCAGTAGACGAGACATCTGGAACGATTGATCCCGAGAGAACTGAGAGCGAGTAAAGATCAATTCAATATTTATTAATAATAAACAAATGAAGAGATTCTAATATGCATTTTGCAAATTTCGATAACTAAAAACAGCACATAATTTTGCAAAAGCATGCTCTGCTTGACGAGAGTGGGATTCGAACCCACGCCTCCGGAGAGACTGGTGCCTTAAACCAGCGCCTTAGACCGCTCGGCCATCTCGCCTCCCGCATATTCTCCATATACATGGCACATAGCCTAATTGAGGATCAATGTCATGTGATAAAAGGTCGTGTTGTAAAGCACTTTGACGAGAGTGGGATTCGAACCCACGCCCCCGAAGAGACTGGTGCCTAAAACCAGCGCCTTAGACCACTCGGCCATCTCGCCCTACAATCTCTTTGAATAGCACTTTTGTAACCACAAAATTCATCAACTGATATGAGTGAGGATAATATAGTCAAATCATTTCTGTTCTCCGTGTATATTGGCCAGTTCAACAATGCCGTTCACTGCCGTGTGTCGCCGAAAACAGCACAATGATGATAATGACAGTGTCACCATACGTATTTCAGGTAAATTAAACAGAATGTTAAAAAATCCATCAAAAGGAGACAAAAGCTAATGTAAGAGATGGGACAGCTTCCTTGTTGTTAAACGTAATAGACGACGTTTTTCACTGTGATTTACTCGCTTCTCTACGTCATTTCCGCTGTCAACATATTTAACAACCCATCCCCTTCTGTATAATGTTGTCAGTGTGTTAATAGTATTCCAACTCCAGATTGACTTTATCACCCCCACCACTCAAATCTGTCAACCACTGACAATTATTTAAAATTTTTTTAACCATCTGGCTCGAAAATTTCCGCACACGTTTGTTAGGAACTTAAATGTCATTGAGGGACGTTTATTGTCTTAAAACAAATCCAGAACGACTAGCTGGTATTTTCCTAAATCCTTCACTTTATCTATCTTACCGATCAGAGAGAAATCGGCGCAGTATCTTCTGAATTTGATGCGAACTAAATTTTATTTCAGATATACAGCCTTCAAAAGCTCTGTACCCTCCAGAAAAAAAAGCTATGAAATCATTGAAAAAAATATAAACAAATATTTCGAATCCCATTTTGAATGTTATTATTGCAAAGAAGGCAATGAAACGCCCCAACTGCACCCCTTTATCTTTTAAAGTTCGAGCACTGTTTATTTCATAGAATTAAAGAATACACTCCATTCACAAAAGTATTGGAAGCGAAATCAACCCGCCTGCCAAAAATACCTCTCTGGTCATTTTATAGTTCCACCAATTATTCACAAATGCTCCTGTTATTGCCAATTTTTTTTCGCAGTCTAGCAACTTTTGCATCTCATTTATGGTATGAAAGTAAATTAGTGACGCTGCTTTATGCACAGTGTTATTGATTGTTGAGCACTTGTGTATACAAGTCCATCTGTATTCACAAACATTGATTTCAAGTTATGACCATATATAAATACGACGAAAGACTTTGGCACACGCACGGAACAATACTCACAATATACAAGATATAATCAGTATATAGCGAAACCAATCGAAATAGCAATATTATCGTTGTGACTACAACAAATCAAGTCACTTGCCATTTACTAATCAATTTAAAATTCTACTACTTCATATATTTACGTTTCTTCTGGAAAGAGGAATATTTAAAAGAGAATAGTGAAGTACCCGACAAATCTCAAACAAATTCGAAAATCTCCATAAATGAACAAAAAAAACACAAAGTAACAAATTGCAGTCGTGCCCACAGAAAATTTACATTTTGTTTGCAAGCGTGTTCCACTTGATCAACGTTGAAGTGATACGAAATCGATCCTCAAAAACTTTTAAACATTGTTCTAAATGGCTTCACTACTGCAATTATACTGTTATGGATGCAGTACAACTGCTTTGTACTGCAAGATATTTTTCACAAGGGGTTCCAAATATTCGTATGTTTATAATTTGCACTTCATTTGCAATATTCTTTTTAAATGTATTTCGAATGATCTAAAGATTGGGTTGTTTCAAAATTAACAAACGAAGAAGAGCACAAATCAAAATGGAACAAATTTTAAAAAGTTATTGAGAAGACGAAAGGGTAATAGGCGTCGAAAAAGTGTGACATGGATATTTGGAGAAAACTTCGGGACTACGCCAAATTGCATTATTCAAAACACGAACAGTTGTAAAAGTAGCAGTGGCAGGAGTACTACTGTTCCTACTGTCATTATCATCAAGAGCCTGCTGCTTACGAATTTGCGCAGACCGTGATGGTCGACTATATTGCAATCTTGCTATATCACGGCGACAAATTATGCAGTTCATCCGCATTCTGTTCTCGTTGATTGCATGCTAAAATGAGAGATTTAGAAGAAGATTCAAATTAAGAAAGTGAATTGAATTTTTAAATCTAAACATAATTCGAAATAATGGTTAGCCTGATGGACATTAGCAAACGAAATCATTAAATTTTAGTTATCTGTAAGTATTCTGGACCCTCAATTAAAATAATTAAGACTGATGATAAAAGTAATCAATGAAGTAATAGCTTTTACGCGTTCATAGATAGGTAATTTGAGAATTTACATGTGGGTGCATGAGCATTTCACTGTTCTTTTTTGAAACTAGTTAAAGTCAAATCTGTTTAAGGATACATAAAGAACACTCTGCCCATAAAAGTTGCCGAAATATCGAATAATCCAGTACCGACGCTAATTTAATCATTTATATTATGCCGGCATTTCTTTCATGCATAATTATTTCCTAAATAACTGTGGAAATCTTGAAATACAAGCATGTAAGTGAATTCATAGATCCATTTTTTCGTTAAATCATAAATGTTACCTCAATTAATTGGACAGCACAGTTCCGACAGAACACTTTATGACTGCAAGGAAAGGCTCGAACTGATGCACGCCGCTGTACACATACACAGCATTCATCATCTATTCCACTAGCACGATCTTCAGGTTCACAAGCAAGTTTTGTCTTCAACCGCTTCTGAAAACTCAACAAAACTTCTCTAAAATTATGAATATGGAACTTTGTATGTATGCCGCACTAATATCAGGATAAAATCTTTAACCCGAAAAGTTTCGGAAACCAAATCTTGTTCGAAGAAACTGCATAAGTTAGATTTGAGGGAATTCGACGTCCTCCCTTGGCACAAGAATATGATAAATATAGAAAGAGATTATACCTAAATTCTCTCTTCTTCTGATAAGATATGCAGTTCACAAGATGTTGTAATCACTCTATATAATGCTTGAACGAACCTGATGTTCGTCACTCAAGCTCATCAAAAACATCAAATCTTTATTCTGCACAATTGAAAGGATCTCATCTTTATATTATTTCTCTTTAAAATTGAATCGCAACCCTCACTGCCAAATAGGTGCTTCAAATTCAGTCAGTAAAACTTGTAGAAGATGGGAATACGAGCTTGGATAGCCTACATTCTCATCTACTTGCTCTTACTTGCTCCCTTATAATAGTAGCCGAAGATGCGAAATAGATATTCCACTTTCAAGAGCTTTTCATCAGTATTTCGAGGTAGTTGTCTTGCAAGAGAAAACATAGAAATCAAATAGAAAAGGTTTATAAGACTGTTTTAAAAATTATGGCAATGCTGGTGAAATAGTAGAGATACAACAAGAGTGAAAAGCAACAATCACATAGGTAAGCCGAACACTCGATGTAATGTATTACTGAGGCGGACAGAATTGATCTCAAAGTGGACAATATCGTTCAATTAGGTAAATCACTATCTTCTCAATGCCTTCTTTTTGAAAATACGAAGATAAAAAGGGAAGAGAGTATATGTTCATGAAGTAAAGAGTACAATACAGGTGTGTCACTTCTCAAGTACATACAAAAGTGGTAATATTTGTCATTAATAATTCATAAATATGGTTTGCCTCTCTTGTAAAAGTTAAGGAAAAATGCTAAGGTCTGTTTGGTGAATCAATGGGCAATGGTCACTACTGAGTACAATTCATAAACACGATTTGCCTCTCTTCTACATGCGAGGTAGGACGGGAAAGAAAGAGATCGCGAATAATAAAACAACTGACGATTAATCAATCACACTTACAAAAAGAGGATCATAATGAAGCTGTGGAAATCTCTGCAGTACTGATATAGATGCGATCCCTGAGTGTGAAATGATAACTAACAACAATTGATAGTAATGACAAGAGTAATAATGATGATAAGCGATTCAGCATATTTAGTTCATAAAGCTTACCAGTAAAGCATCGATGTGCTGTCGTTGTGGTGAGGGTAACTTAGCGGTGGAGCAACAAGTAGGCTCACTGCCTAGCAAGCAATGCTCAGATTCAGGTTCGGGTGGGCGGACTCGTCGCCTCAAGAAATGTACCAATTCAGAGAGTACCATACTCCACCACCATCTCAGGCCACACAGACAGACACCGCACAGACGACACACACAGCAAGCAGTGATCTATTGGCCACAACATGGAGGATCGTCCCCGCAGATGTCCCACAGCGACACACAGACAGACAACTAGTTGTCAATTGCTCCTCCTCCGTCTAGACACCGCTCTTCTCTTCTCCCTCTCCGTACACAATCGATCTCAGACCACTTTTCTCTTTCACTTCCACACAGAAACAGAGAATGACATAGAAATCGGCATCGGCACGACGTCTGCGCTCATTGTAATTGTGCGCCTGACACGCCCATTTGTCTGGTACAGTGAACCTGTTTGTCTAAGGCCAGAAGAACGGTTCGCTGGATACAGTCAGGGATCTGCTATTTACGTGGATGGAACAAGGGATCAATGAGAAAAGACGTGTGATAGTGGGTGGTATCATGAAGTTAAGCTACTACCTACCTCTTTCTTAAATCTAATCGCCTGGTTCTTCTCTAATCCTGCAAAATGAACCCTTTATCAAACAAAGTATTAACTATAAGAGCATGAATGTGCACACAAAATATTTTCAGAAGATAACAAGTGGGCAGGTGCGCAAAGTGAAGGGCAATCAGCGCACTTGGGGAAAAACAAAAAATCTAAATAACGGCTGGCTGAAGGAACATTACAATTGCAACACAAAAATTGTCATCGAGAGGAAAGAATGAAATCAATTTCTGCAATGCGCATCCGCACTCATATAGCAGTGCACATGATATGTGGAACGTATATACGTATACAAATGAAGTGTGTACGATTTGAAAAGGCTGAAAAAGGAATGAACGATCAATAAGCATTAGCATTACTCATTGGGGAATTACAAAGAAAGGGAGAGATGATTCAGAAACAGTGAGTAATTCTGTTGCACAGACAGCAATAACATCTCAAAAATTAAAGTTGTTCAAGCTAGTTTGATGATCAACGGATGTAACATGAAATTCTATTTTGCACAAATCTCTTTTCCCACATTCACTCAGATCTTATCAACAAATTTAAGCACAAGTGTATTTAGATTTTGATTAAAACAAGAATATAATGTCTTCTTTTTAAAGTTTATGCGGATTTGCACGACACTTCCAGTACCAATTCTACCACTTAACATGATGGATTTGTGACATCGGCAACCAATAAAGAAATGATGTGTTTCTGCATCTATCACTTTCATACGCATGTGTCATTATTTAATACCAACATATCATAAGAAACAAAGGAACAAGAAACCCTAATAATACGCCCATTTTGAATTATACACGTACATTTAATTGATTTTTCTAAGAAGTACAAAAACATGAGGTAAATCATTAGCGACTTCATAATACAACGAATAGTTGAGCTATCAATGCAGTCGCTGCCTGTCGAATAATTTGAAAATATTTTCCATTCGAGGTAACAAATTACAATACATACAGAAAACAAACTAAACCCGAGTTCTACAAGTTTGTGTGCTGACATTAACCAATGTTTTTGCATGCCGGCTAGTCCATTCGTGCATCATAATCATGGTATCTAATAATGCTTTCCGTGCTTCCCTGCAATTAGTATCTGCCAATGAATCTTTATTAATGATCTTTTGATTATAACCTGACAACGCATGAAAAAGTGCAATATCTTAAAAGTACACTGTGTATAAACATATTCTAGCTTTCCTTCAACTATCAGTGTTAAGCCAGTGAGCTGAACGAATCATGTAATTATCAAAACCAGAAAACAATCTGCTAAGGCAACTTACAAAAACTTGATTTTCATCTAGCTAATTAATAAAAAAAACTCCATTATTTTTCGAAACAATAAAATGGCCGGAGCATCAAATTAACTCTTACAGCAGTACGTGATAATTTCGCAGTTTCAACTTCTTGTCTAAACTCACTTGGTTAATGTGATATTTAAGGTTATACCATCTCTTGCGGCGGCATAACATTCATCTACTAATTCTGGCCACTTCATCCAAAGTTTTCGTTGCGCGAAACGACACACCTCATACAATGCACAAGCACAGTTCGATTCAATCTCTTCAATTTCATCTGCCTACAGTTGTTTCAATTTACGAAAATAATGCCCTGATAATAGCAATTTTAACTTATGTATAAATTAAATGAGAGAAGTTTTCAACACCTCGCCAATTATTGTTTCCAACCATCCCTTAATTGATGAAATGATATAAAATAAAATGTCATTCGACTCGAGATCACATCTCGCATGCTCTTGAGGCCAGTTAGCAATTAAAAGATGTGCCACAAGTTCCGGGAGTCCTTGTCCAGTTCCTCCAACCAAAACATAATTTGACATTAAAACATTGATTTCTTGTGCAAAAGCCGATCGAAAGCCTTTTTGTCCTGCAGTTATCAAAAATAAATATTCACGTAACAGCTTTAAAACAAGAAAAATTTCTACCAATCTCTGAAACTACTTTGTCTCCCATATCCTTTCCATATTCCAATATTGCTTCACATTTACTTCGACCTAGGCTAATTTTTGAAACAACATTGAGTATGCAAAATTGATAACTTACTGACAGCCATAATGGCAGCAGTTACTGCAAATCCTCTGACTTCTTGTACTGCAATACTTGCAACGTGACAAGCAAACCGATTCCAGTCTTCATCACTGAGGCATAAATTTCCATCATTCATTATACTTTCTGCAAGCAGAAGTTCTAATTATTTTTTAAAGTTCTTATTTAAGTAAATACAAATTGTTCCGATCATGGAATAACGCTTTTAGTGTTGATGAAATTTTCATAAATGTAGAGAAAAACAATATCTAACTTGAAAAGAGCTTAATAAATTTCCAAATATTTCAGTTTTGTGATTTCATGAAATAGATGACCATCCCCATAAAAAAGCAGTAAAGAGTATCATCAAACTTTTTCGGAGACATTCGAAGGACCTATTATATGTTTATCAAATAGTAGGGAAAATCTTACTGAATTTGCCATGCATCGAACAGCGATCGTTAACAGCAAGGTCAAACAGATTGATGAGTTCGTCCGCAGTTATCATAGAAGAATCTAAAGATTTTTGTATCTCTGAATTGGTAGGTCCACTCGGTAGCATCATTTTCCTGATTTGCGATCTATTAAGAGGTTGCCTTTCCTTTTTCCCTTGCTCAAGCGATTTTTTTTTTGTATTACCATCACTCAACGTTGATTCCATGTTTTTGAATATCTGATGCCCCCGAGCTATCTTTACATTCCTTTCTCGAGCTTTCCTCTCTCCAAAACTTTTGAGCGGTGAATCACTTCTGACAACCGTCAACTTGGTTAGTTTCTCGGTGGTATCACGGTCTAAACTAGAACCTCGACCATAAGCCGTCGAACTATTAGCTCCTGATTGGATGTCAGTAGGTCCATCATCGGACATAGCACACACCTGCAAAGCTATTTTCATCACTTCGTCTTACCACGTCAGTAAATATGAACTTGAAAATTTTTCTCGTTGCAACAGATCCCGTCACCAACTTCAACTAAAAGGCCATAAAAACTGCCGTGTAATTTTATTTAAAAATTAATACAAAATTGAAGTAACAAGATGGAGGTAGATATATTCATGCAATGCATTTTCTCACGTAAAAATCAATAAATACAAAAACGAATATTAAGTATTTTATTCAAACACAAATTAAATGACAAAATAAACAGTACTAGTTTTATTATGACACATAGTTTCGCACAATGTTTTTAAAACATTTGTACAAGCTTGATTTACATGTCTTCTACTTTCCAATTTTTATTTGCTAAATGACTTGCACCATGTTCAGGATCGTCAGGAACAATATGCAATGAACCGCTGGATGACCTGCTGCTATGTGGGCTGCTCGCTTGTGGCTGTCTCCGTAATGATCCGGGTGGACAACCTTTAACTATTCGAAATGGATTCTTATTACTTTTCCACATAGAAGCCTTGGGTGCAATTCCAAGTAAATCGCAAATCTGATCCAGTTTACACTGCCTTGCCATCTGTCTACCCTGAAACACTGTTTTCTCATAAAAATATTGTTAACTCAACTTCTTTGTGTTTCATTTTTTCCCAGCAGTGATTACTTTCTTGAATTTCACCAATGTCACTACTAAGCAAAAATTCACTTTAAATAAAGAAACATGGAGGTTTATGCCTAGGGACATATTACCCGTCACTATTGATGTATGAAGATATTCAATTTTTGAATTCCGATGATACATTAAGAGATGACGTATATTTACACAAACCTTGGTGAGGCGTTGTTTGGCAGCCATACATCGGATGTGGTCATCAAACAAAAATTTTGCATTAAAGTAAATCGTATTGTTTGCTCCCGAACGATTACTTACATCATTAACAATGATGTGAAGTGCACGACTGTCTCCAAGGTCGCCCGTTAGTTGAGTGTCCTAGAATAATATATTGGCTGACCGAAAAAACTGTTACCGTACAATCTTTAGGAGAGTATGAAACTCACTTGTAAAAGACCAACAAAACGGACAACGGCCCATCCCATACGCTTGTTATCTGGCTCTACCAGTATCAACTGTGCCTGATCCGTAACAAGAAATCGATGAACTTTCTCGTTTTTTTCATTCATAACTGTGCAAGCGAGCAAATCACTGTTTTCTACAACGAAATTTGCTATATTAAATGTAGAAAGAAAATTAAATCAGAAAATAAAACCAGTAATAAATAGGAAATTTATTTAATCATGCTTTGTCAGATAAACAATGTAGCCAAAGAAAAAGAACACCAATGTAAAAGAATTTTTTTCGTTTTTATAATGAAAAAAAAATCGAACTAACCGAGGTTAATACAATCGTTCACTTCAACAAACACATCAGTTTTAGACGATATTGGTAAACACGTTTCTTCTTCATCACGGAGATCTAACGCAAACTGTCTCAAGTGGAAGAACAGCTGGATATTCTGAAAAGAAAAAAATTAATTTTATAAGCTTCTGCTACACACTGTAACTGTTCCAGGCAATCTGGTATAATAATTTAAGCATAAAGTTAAACTTTAGATAAAATGTTCTATCAACAGAAATTAAATACAAAAAATTTTCACCTTTCGGATTCGTTCTTCACTGCCACATGGAAGGCGTTTATTAAGCGAAACACCATTCAGTGGTGTACTAGGAGGAGGAAGCAAAAGTGATGAATCTGTACTAATACTTCTAATTTGGATTTTATTTCTCTAAAAATGAAATAAAGATTAGAAACAAATATCACGCTGACATAATTTTCAAAATGACGAAAATGTTGGAACTAACCTCAAAATTATAAAATTCATCTTCAAACATCTCCAAAAACAGTTTTTCCGAGTAAACAGATGGTGCAAGTATGCTAACAAGGCTTGTTATAACTTTTTCTGCTCTCCTTTCGCATTCTACTTGTGCATCTATAGATGCATCCATGACCAATAATAGCTGCCTTAAGACAATACAGCATAATTCAACTGTTACTGCACGAATAAATGAGTCTGAAAATTTGCAGCCATGTTTCAATTCGTCACATATTAGACCGATAGTAGAAATAATTATTGAGCAACTGGCAAATATGTTAACACCTGCTTCAGCACTTCTAGCTATAATATCCAGCAAACTGTCCAGGAAATTGTGATCAGAACTAACGACATCGGAAGTGAACTGTACAGCTTCCAAAATTTCTCCTCGTGCTCCTAAAATGCTTTAAAATCTTAAAATAAGTTTATTCAATTCCATAAAGAATTTAATATCGCATGCCATGAAGAAAAAAAGATTTTAATATATCGTATTTAAAAGTTTAAAAGTCGATTGGACTTCCGACGAAGAAAAGTTTTTAATATGATACGGTGTTAGCTAAAGAGTAATACCTTTGTTCTGACAAAGGGCATAAATGAAAATAAGCCCGTAAAAAGCTGAATGATCACTTCTCGAACAAAACAACGCATTCATATATCCGTTAAAAAATGCTCTGAAATTCATTATTTTTAATCTAAAAAAAATTTAAAATATTCTGAACATGTAATTTCAAATATGTGTGACTGGAAATAACCTCGGTTCAATATCTTTAGCTTTCATATTTGTAAGAATCCACGCTGCCTTTTCATTGCGAATCCACTGATACTGCACATCAGAACCATCACCAAAAAAAAACGATGACAAAAGTGATTGTACTGCCTGTAAACTAAATATCTTTTACAATATAAACCTTGAAATTTTATGGCAAATAAAAAAAGTTACTGATGCTGAATTAAGGCAACAGAAAAAAAAGTGCTTCACTATAGAAATGTTTTTAAACTATTTGAGAATACCACGCTGGTGTCTTGAATTATAAAGAAATCAAAAACCATCCTGGCATTGAATTTACTACGAAATACAATTTCATAAACATCTCACTACTTGACATACCTGGGAATCATCGACGATCAACAGAAAATGAGTAAGAAAGAAGAGAGTGGAAACTGGTGTTAAAACAGCAGTAGCGGGATGAAGACGAATACCACCAAGAGATGAAAGATACAGCGGTCCCAGCAGTCTTTCAAAAACTACCTCAATGAGCACAGTGGAAAGCTTTTCATCCTAAAATATAAATTTTCCTCAAAATTTATAACTTTTTGTGTTGAAATACTTCAAAAAAGAATTCACACTTTAAAATAGATGTATTGTTTATTTCTAAAAAATGACAAAAATATAAAAAAAAGATAGTAGAAAATCAAAAACTAACTTTTATAAGTAAAATGTCGTTGAGATAATGCATATAATCAAGGTAATCATCAATCATAGAATCAAGCTTTTTGCGATTGCTGGATTCATTTTCAGCCGACCGAGCAAAATGATCGATTTCAATCGATTGCCTTGCAATAAAATCGCTCAAAGCACAAAAGTAAACCCGGGAGTGAGCACGAACGTAACTCCTCATTGATTCATCTTCCACTTAAAATACGAACAAAACAATTGCAAAAGAACTTTTACTAGCTTCATAGTTTTATATTTTTTAAAAAACTGCAAGAACGTTCCATAAAAATAATGAATACCTTTGTATATGTTAAGTGTGGTCGTTCGTACTGCAATGCGTACCATAGCTTCACTATGATTTTGAAATTTGATGACTTCTGTGTACAATGGGAAGTCTTGATTAGCCTACAAAATCATTGGATGTGTGAAGTAAACCATAACCGGCAATAAAAAAATTGATAATAAAAAGCAGATGGACCTCATTGAAAAAGAAGTGTATAGTATATATATTGAGCTTGAAGGAAAGCGTTTTCAAGAAGGATATGTAATATGCCATAATTTCCTCATTTTCAAAATTAAAATGATATGTGATGATTGAATTAACATGATTATTACTGAGCAAATAATCTGCAAATAGCTTGTATATTCATTATCAGTCACATAACAAAAGTATTTTTCTATAAGATAAATGAAAGAAAAAAGATATTACTACTGCCTCAAAAACTCAACCGAAAAAAGAACGACAAACTAACACAAAGATGTCTTGTGACGTATATTTTCGAATAAAATATTGAGCGTTTGCAATAGTTGAACACAGATATAGGAGCCACAATTTTGTTTCATTATAGAAAGAAAATATTCCAACATTTGTCGTTCTAAGAAAAAACTAAAAACTACAACATTTGTCGTTCTAATAAAAAACTGAAAACTCTACATGAAATGTTTGTGCTTTACTATTACTCTAAACATTAGAAAAAATTATCAGAACACATAACATATGCTTCCATCAATCAAGTCTTTCCCACTCTTCTTCTCTAACCGAAATAAACAATTATAAAAAGAGCAGCTGCAAAATCAAAACAAAAACTTCTGGTTACAAAGCAACTAAATTCGATCTAATTTTGATTCCACACCGGAACATGTATGAAGTTATTCTATGCAATATTTATAATATTATTAGTAGTGATACAATATTTTAATAAATAAATAAATTACTCACTCAAAAACGGAACTTTCATTCTGGTCACCCCAAATTAAAATTTCAGAAACTGCTCTCAAGCATTCAACCAACAACTTGTGATTATTTTCTGTAACCTGCTCATTCTTGCGAAGTACTTCATATAAGTATCTAAAAATTTAGGCTGGAAAAAAAATAGACGCGGAAAAATGAAGAGTATATAAGCAACAGAAAATCAGCAATCTGAAACTAATGAAACAAAAATACTAATCGACTTGAATATGGCCATTTAGCGAATGAAAAGGAGTAATGAATGGCTTACTTCAGGTATTCCAATGAATGCGGGTTTTTCGGTTTCCACAAAGAGGATAAACCCAACCGTTTAAACATTGCTCAACAAATTTCAACAATCAGCTGACCAAACACATTACTGAAACAATGTCATAAACAAATCATATCCGGGATATTTGTCACTTTCAAGATGAGATAGACATGAGGATCAAATCCTGCCTGTTTGTCCTTATCTTCGTATTTGCATGTCAACAAGCTACTCGCACATCTGCTCCCGTATCCGTCCACTTAACTCCTCGAATGAAAATAAAAACACTATCGTCACCAAACATTTCTCTAAAAAAAACAACCGCTTACAATATTCGAACCGCCTCCCTGTATCATATCATTGTAATCTAATGATACGGAAAAAAGTAGCAAATTGAGGCAACGGGCTTAAGCATGGTTTGCAGCAATCAGTCGTTGCATTACTTCCGCACCAATTCATTTGCTATCATGACTGATCACTACGAAAACTTTAAGCTCATGATGACTTCACTTTTTTCTTCCCTCGGGATGTTTATTTGGAATAGTTTAGTATTGGCTAAGAAATGGTACTGGCATTAAAATATGTCCGGAAAGATTAAATGTATAATATTTCGATAGTGGCCAAGCCATCAAGGTAAGCAAACTAGATCTGAAAAGGAAGGATTAGTAGTACTGGGCTGTTGTGTTCATAGTGCTATTTGTATTTAAATTGTCCAGACTATATCCTTTATTGTTGCAGGCGAAATTATTCGTATTTCCTGAAAGTTCAGCCGCTTGAGAGGAAAAGTTAACTTATGAAACCATAAATTGAATGGCTCTCATAATGTTAAAATTTCGAAAATTTCTATCACTTCGCACATTTCATAATTATTTTTTCATAGGATATGCTGAAATTTCCTTTCTGGATTTATTTTGCTTAATTTAATGATAAAATTTCTAAGTCTTTTGAATAGCATCAATTGTCGTAACTTCGTTATGAAATAATAAAATAATTTCAGGATATTTCATGAAAACCATTTCTGTAATTTCTCTCTTATGCTATCTTATTGTATTATTTTGCAATGGAATTTCCCTGTGAGGAAACAAATAGTATTGATTATTTGTTACTATTTCCATTTTCGATTCAAACTGGAGAATTCTTTTCAATTTATCATTATTGCGAACATCACTGAAATTGACAATTAGCGAAAGTTTCACAAATAAATTGTTCAAAGGTAAAATTGAAGAGGAAGCAGTGGTAGTAGACATGATTCATTTGTGCCATTATTGCTCTTTTCAACAATTAAATTTCTACACTGAACAGAGAATCAGATGATATGCATGACCTCTTGGAGCGCACTTGTCCCTGCATTATCCCACTCATTGATCTTGCGCGAACATACCCTTCCATGGCTTTTGTCCTCTTTTCAACAACTTTTTGCAATCTGTTTTTACAGCTCTTTCATTTACGTTCCTTAAATGATATTTTCAAAGTGCTTAAGTGAATTTCTCTTTAGAAAAAGAAAACAAAAGTGAAACAACATTTAATTTATTGAAAAATTTACAATTTTCATAGTGCAAGCTACTTGGCATAATGTGGGCTTATTTGATTTAGTTGTTAAAATAGCTTATGTATCTTTGAATTTAATTTATCAACTAATTACACCGTTGGTTTCGCAATGCATGAGGTTTCGAGAAGATATGTTTGTGTGTTAAAGTTGAATTTTTCATTGAAAAATTCAGAACTAACATCAGAAACTATATCGGCTCAATATTATTGATTAATTACACCCATTTCTTGAATATAATTCAACAAGCACCATAATAAGCGCGAGAATTCGATGAAGCATTTAGTATCTTTGTCCTCACCTTGTTAGTGACAGTCATAACAAATTGCCACTATATTTTTTTGTCACAAATACCATCCTATCCCTTCCATGTACACTTTTCTGCAAACATTTCCCTAAAGGATGTTTTTCCTCTCTTGCTCAATAATTCTACAGGAAATTAAAGAACCATTTTGGGTGTAACCCGTAACAATTCTAATCATTCTCCACATCACATACCATACTATCACTGTCAATTTTAACGAACTCCCCGTGTATTTTATGCACACACATATATAATATACACACATACACACACACACACATACATAAGTGCAACTTCAGATGATGTACAAAGGAGAACGACCGACATCATTTCCATGCTTGACAATTTGAGAGAGGGTGAATGAATAGACTTACCAATGTAAACGATGAGAATGATCAGAAATGTGGAAGCGATACATCGGTTGACAATTTTCGGGCAATCTACCTGAAAGTATCGCACAGTCAGTTCTTTATGTTCAATACCGGTATGAATTGACATCAACTGCTGCTGCTGCTGCTGCTGCTATCATTACTATCTATTATCATTGTCATCATTGTCACTATTATCAATATTGTTACTGTTATTCTCACTTATTACAAGCCATTATAACTTTATGTTTTATTTTATTGTTATCATTAATTATCACTGTTATTATTGCGAGTAATAAGTATGTCCATGTATAGTTCACGATGTTTTATACTGGATTTTGGAATATTGCTGTACATTCCAGACTGGAATGTAAGAATTAGCTCTTAATGAGATTATTGTTCCCCAATTATTTTCATAGAATTCTTTTCACATTACTATTACCTGGATACTTCCCATAATAGTCATTGGAGTTGGTTGAATCTTATGTTGATGTCATGAACTCTTTAGTGGTCATTCCCCGTTATAATAATATTTCACTCCCGCAACGATAATGTTATGCTTGTTTTTGAAACTTCAAGAAATTTAAACTTTTTCATGTTCATTTTGCATCCTTTCATTGGTTTATGCATTTACTTGGCTGTCATCATCTAACTTGTTTCTTATAAAGGTTTCAGTGTATCAAAGCAGCAACTTCATTGTGTCTGTGATTGAAAGCGGGTTTACACAAATTGCGTAATTTTCCTATGAATTGTTAACTTTTTTTGTTGTTCTGATATAATTTTTATGTATGACACTTCTCTTTTCTTGTCACTATTAATCTTTCTCTTTCCCTTTCGACTTTTATATCTTAGCTATAATCAGGTTTTACATTTTGATTTTCTCTCTTCTACCTTTTCACTTCGTTATCATCGTTCTCCTCCATTCATCTCTTGTTCCTACCAACATTTTCCCCTTATATTAATTTGACCAACTATTCATTAACCTCTTCTTCAGTAATCTGCTTTACTCACAGTGTGAAGATAAATATAATCAACTGATATTACAATATAAAGCGATGTATTCAGTACTGAATGGAATTGCTGAAATTGTGAATATCCCCATTGCACAAGCAGCTTCATCTCATTTCAGTATTTCTCGAATTCTTCCTTTCAAATATTCAACAGAGATCCTATCTTTCTAACAATTCCTGATATTCATATTATTCCCATAGTGCAGTCCTTTTTTCTTTCCGCCAATTTTATTCCATCAAAGCGTGGCACTTTAACTCCTTTTGAATGACAGCATTATAATTCCATGAAATACCTTACCTTATTATGTTTATTACTGTTTGAAATCGTTATTTTTCATACAGTTTCAAGTGATCCATGTAGATGATTGATTTTACTTTCGTTATAAATATTTCATATTCATATTTAATTGTCTTCAATTCTCTGATGAGATGCTACAATAACTTTTTTAATTTCGATATCACTCGTTTTTTTTTTGACCTAAATAAAAACTTTCTGCATAATTTAATAAGGAAAAAATTTCTATCAGCTGAGGAATGCTGACGTTTTTTTGTTCTAAAATGTAGTTGCATATGTTACCATTTCAGATTGTGTACTAGGTAAATCATTTGCAGTTATATATTTCTCAAGATTTTATATTTTGCATGGAAGAAAATAGAATAATGACATTATTGTAAAAGCGACGGGAAGTTTTTTATATCTTATCGATCACTTCAAGTACACTCAATCGTTTAAGTGATATGTTGCTCTTCCTATTCTCCCCAAATTACCATAAAGTTTCAATTCGTGTAATCTTGTTACAAACAGATATTTACTTTTTTTTCCTTAAAAATTTTCATTTCATTTTTTATTGCTATTTAGTTACTATTCTTCTTTTGATCTTCGTGATTAGATCGATATTATTGCTTGTATCGTATTGATGAGGTGTAAGGGATCTATATCGGATTTTCATAGTTAGTGCCTGTTATTTGTAGCTTTGTTTTCATTTCTTCTATTTATCGTTTAGTCATTTGTAAGTGGCTCTTTCCTGTGTAATATTAAACTGTTTATTATTCCCAGCGATTAACTTTTGGTATTTTTCAAACAAAATTTGTGTATTTCTTCTGGTCCAACTTTAGCTGATCTGCTATTGCCACATGATTTTATGTTAATGTCAGACCTTACACATCTATCACTTCATCATTTTAATCAATCCTCTCCATATCCGCTTCTTTTCTAAAAATTTTTGTCAAAATATTACGCTTCTTTTTTATGTTGGAATATAATTTGTTTACCAAATTTTCACATTTAAGACTTTATTGATAATTTCGGGACACTTAAATTCACTTTTATTAGATCATCTCTTACTCTTATATAGACTTATTCAGTTAATGCTAATACTGCTTCTCTGCATCCCGGTGAATTTCGACTCGAGTTTTTCTTTTCATTTTGATATATTTGCATTTGACTGAATAATTTTCTAGCCAAGTTCTTTCGTTATAAGCAAGCTGTATAATGTATTTGTTTTTCGCATCATTAGTGTTGGCATATGCATATTCTCGATAGATCATATTCAGATCTCATGGTTTTTGCATGTTTTCCTTTGATATTAGAGGAAGTATAGAAGATTGTGAGCTTAACTTTCTTGTTCCTTGTTATATGTTACTCAACCTTATCAAAACTGATATAATGAATTGCAGAGAGAAGGATTGCTGACACAAGATAAGCAGCACACTTCATATATTTTCATTTTATCAATTTGAATTATTGTTAAAAATAGCGAGCATAAAATTTGTATCAATAAGGTAATAAAACTATGAATTGCTAAATACTGTTTTTATTTATATCAAAACTTTAAAAAAATGT